AAAATGGAAGAAAGAAAATGGAGGAAAGGTCGTACCGCTTTTTTTTCCCAAGGCAGAAACACAGGAGTTGAAAGCGGTACGACGCCACTTCCGTGGGACATCCAGCAAATGAACGAATATTCGGTTCTGAAAGAGCACCTCCCCCCCGCCCACTTTTTTGCGATTAATCTGTGTCTATTGCCCGCGGGGTGGACTTTTCTTCTTTTCTTCTGGGCAAGCACTCCCTCCCTCCTGCTTCTCCTTCAACGACCGTCTCCCGCCGATCTCTTCCTCCTTCCCATCCCCACTCCTCCCTGTTCACCTCCGCCCCTCGAACGCCTTGCTCTTTTTATTCTGCTTTGGACCCATTCTAGCTCTTCATCCGCATCCTTGTCGCCTTCGTCGTCTTCATCGTCTCCTCCTCCGTCATTCTATCCCCTCCCCCTTCGTCTCACATTCCTCCTGTCCCTCCCCTCCGAACCCTGCGCACGATATATAGGTTTACGTTCAGATCCCGTCTCCAGGTGTCCAGACCTGACGACTAATCCGTCGACCCATCATCGCTTGATTGTTGAGCGGCTACACGGCAGTGGAGCAGGCACGCCGGCGAGCCGTGGCAGGACTACTACCGTAGTAGGCAGGCACGGCACCCGGCAGCTCCATGTATGGTCTTTTCTGCGAGAGAGTAACGAGTGAGTGAGTTAGCGAGTGAGTTAGCAAGTGAGCCAGAGAGTGAGTTAGTGAGTGAGCCAGCGAGTGAGTTAGTGAGTGAGTGAGCCAGAGAGTGAGTTGGTGAGTGAGCGAGCCAGCTAGTGAGTGAGTGAGCCGGAGAGTGAGTTAGTGAGTGAGCCAGAGAGAGTTTGCCAGAGAGTGAGTTAGTGAGTGAGTGAGTGATCAGCCATACATCATGGCGGCGGAGAGCTTCCACCTGGACACGCAGTATTACTGGGTGTATATCGTGTCCATCATTGTATCCTTCGCGATGGCGTGGGCAATTGGTGCCAACGATGTGGCCAACTCTTTTGGGACGTCCGTGGGCTCTGGCGCCCTCACGATGAAGCAAGCCGTTGTCATTGCCTGGGTGTTCGAGTTCTGCGGTGCCTTCTTCTTAGGAGGTCGTGTGGTCGAAACCTTGAAGGGAGGCATTGTTCCGCCGGAAATTTACGTGCTCAACCCGTCGAGAACCGAGTTCAATCGTGACGGCGCCGAACTACTGATGTGGGGTATGTTTAACGCGCTCTTGGTAGCCTCGACGTGGATCATCCTTGCCACGTACTACGGCATGCCGATCTCAACGACTCACTCCATCATTGGCGCCATCATCGGCTTCAGCATCGTCGCCAAAGGCTCCGACTCGGTCACTTGGTACAAGGAGGATCCCAAGCTTGACATGCGGATCGGGGGGTTCGTAGCCATCGTCCTCTCGTGGGTGCTCACGCCGTTCATCGGGGCGGTGGCGTCCATGATCGTCTTCGGCTTCACCAAGCGGGTCATCTTGCGCGCAAGCGACGCGGAGCGGCGGACGCTCATTGCGCTTCCCTTCTACTACGGCATAACCGCGTTAATCATCACCTTCTTCATCGTGTACAAGGGGTCTCCACGGCTGAAGCTGCAGAACATTGGGAACGGGAAGGCCACGTTGATCGCCTGCGGGGTCGGAGTCGGCGTCGGGATCCTCGCACAGCTCATCGGCATTCCCCTGGCGAGGAGAAGATTGGACGGACTGGAGGAGCGGAAGGCGCGGATCGAGGAGGCCAAGGCGCGGAAGAAGGCGATCGTCGAGGGACCGGATGCGGGGTCGCGCGGGCCAGCGGGAGTGGGCGCGAAGACCGGCGTGTCGCCGCTTTTGCGCGACGTGGAGAACAACGCAGCGGAGGCAGGTGCGCAGCACCACCTTTCCGCTTGGCAGCGGGTCAAGGCCTGGTACTTCATGATCGAGCGGAAAACCGTTTCCCACGACCTAGAGTTCACTGAACACACTCTCGGCCTCCATGCACGCGCAGAACTTTTCGACGAGCGCGCCGAAGAGCTCTTCAGCTTCCTCCAGATCCTCACCGCCTGCGCCGCCGCCTTCGCCCACGGCAGCAACGACACGGCCAACGCCATCGGGCCGCTATCATCCGTTTACAGTCTCTACAGAGGCGAGACGATCAAACCGGACAGTAAGAAACCAGGCCATCTAATGGTGGAGAAGGTGGAGGTGGAGTCGTGGATGCTAGCCATGGGAGGCATAGCAATCGGTCTCGGCTTCGCTGTGTGGGGATGGCGGATGGTGCGCAATCTGGGCGGAGCTGTCACGATGATGACGCCTTCGAGGGGCTTCACGGCGGAGCTTTGCGCCGCTCTCACTGTCGTCTTGGCTAGTCGGTTCGGCATGCCTATATCTACCACCCAGACCCTCGTTGGAGCCACCATTGGCGTGGGAGCCTCCGATAACTGGAGGAATGTCGACTGGGTGCTGTTTGGCAAGTTCGTGTTCACGTGGGTAATGACCATAGCCTTCGCTGGCCTTGTCACCGCCGGGCTATTTGCGTACGCCGTCTATTCTCCGTCCATTCAACCGTGACGGACGAAGGTTGCGCCCATGGTTGGTGGAAACCTCCTGCTTGAAGCGATCGAGCATATTTTTCTGTCCATCTAACATACCTTAAGAAATGACAACGGAATTTAAAGAAAAAGGGAAGAAAGATAGGCGTCAGAGATGTAACATGTTGAACCTGAAAAACATAAAACAAGATAAAGAAAAAAGGTTAACTGGACCAGGTTCGTTCGTGGTCACAAGATCGCACACACTGTCAGGTAACAGCGTATGAATAAAAGGACCTCCTTCTTCGTCCCCTTCTCGCAAACGACGTCCTTCGTCCTACGTTTGTTTTTGTAGTGTTGTGTTCCGTGCTGCGAATCGGGCTGCGAGTTCGTGTGCCAAGAAGGTAAAAGCGCACCGTTGTAAGATTGCAATGAGAGGGCAGTCCATATGTATCAGGAGAAGAAAGAAGTAAGAAAGGGAAACTTCAAGGTGGGATGACGAGGGCGTTCTGCTCTTCGTTGGGGTGTGCGATGGGGTCGGGATGTTGCCATTCGTAGGATGAATGGGAGGAGAAGTGAAAGGCCGGTTGTACAGCGCAGTACGGCAGCGGATCGGGACGGACCGGTCGTAGTCGTGGGTGAGAGAGCACACTTGAATGGGCAGATTCCGGAATATGTCTGGCGACCACGTTCGGCTAGCTTCGTTCAGAAAGTAAGAAGGAAAAAACCATCCACCTGTATCTCGCCACAGAGGCTGCGCTGAAGTTGACTCGACGAAGGAGTGCTGTAGCTGTGAATACGCGGCCAAATGTCGTCCCTTCAATATTGCAGCATACACGGAGTGCTATCGGGGAAAGAACAGCCATGGGTTTTATTTTCGGCCCGAGGCAGGGGCAGAAATGACACCCATGATGTTCCATTTTGGGGTGGGTCTGTGGCTTGGGGCCAGAGCAAAGGGGCTCGAAACGGCAAACAGCGCTGAATCTGTCGGCAGGAAGAGAGTGCTATCAATCATTGCATGCACGTGCATGAAAGCTATGCATGCATGCACGTACATGCAAGCCATGCGTGCATGCACGTACATGCAAGCCATGCGTGAATGCACGTACATGCAAGCCATGCGTGAATGCACGTACATGCAAGCCTTGTGTGCGTGCACGTGCATGAAAGCCACGCGTGCATGTTCATCTAACAGCGCTTGAAGCTTTGAATGCACGTGCGTGTGTGCATGGGCAAGGCTCTGGCAGCACTTGCTCCATGTCCTTCGTTAGGAAACATCTAATTGTAAATCTTACTAGATTCATTCCTGTACCTAGTCCGACCGCAGTACCACTATTCAACCGGCTAGGGCATGTACTGTTGCATTTGGGTGGGGGAGAGAGAGAGAGAGAGAGAGAGAGAGAGAGAGAGAGAGAGAGAGAGAGAGAGAGAGAGAGCTGCAGATGTGAGCAGACATCGTCGTGGTATCTGATCCCTGTTGCTTGTTTAGGGGACCAGCCAACTTTCCAGAGATTGCCCATAGATCATAGGACCCGCTGTTGATTTACAAAGATGAACCAGCCAGTGTTGCTTTTCTGGTCCGAAGGGGCCATAACGGACCCCCCCTTCTTCTCTCCCCCCCCCCCCCCCCCCGGATTAGAGAACAGCAGGACCTGTCGATAAGAACTCCTCACAGTCCTCAAAGCCGAGCCAGGTCAGCTTGTCAAGATCCTAGCTTTCTTAGAGTTTAGGGTTTCGCTCTTTGCTTTCCCTTCTGTAACTGACACCTACTTCTCCCTTTTTTCTCCCCTTCTCTTTGGTCAAGCTGAGCCCTTTCTTTCTTTTTCTGTTAGCTGGGCCCATTTGCAGTATCCCTCATATATTAAGAATTAAATTTGAGAATAGGCAGGAGTTATAGCTTTAGAAAATTTTGATGTTTTCGATGACGCATTATGCTACGGTTACTAAATTCAAATGTAAATAAGAAATTCTGATTAAGAGCGTTGAGCATGTTCCCATGTTCCCATGTACTCGTGCGCGAGAGTTGGGCCTGTTCCAATGCATTTGGGATGGTGGTCCCCACTAGCACCGGATAGAGGGTATGGTGGACTCAGCGTGACGTTGTGTGAGGTGCCATATATTTGTGCCCTATCATTGTTGTGTAACAAAAAACATTATGGGTGAATGGTTGTATAAAGGAGGTTAAGAGAAAGGAGGGGATCATGGCCATTCACTGTTGATTTTGCACGTCAGTGCCGACGAGTGTGTAATTTTACATGTCCGTGACAGTTAGTCCGGATCAGATACAATTTTTGAACCGTATCGGGGGTGCAATGACGTCTAGGTACTTGTAGAAGGAAGTACAATGACGTCCAGGTACCTGCCTAAAGTTACCTGTTTTCAGGAAGGCTGAAAGTTATCGCTTTTAGGTTCTAAGCCACACATACAGCACGTGAGTGTGTGTATGGGTGAATGGGCCTCAGGGCAGCACTCACCAAATGTGGAAAATGAGTGTTTCTATGGGCATTGCCACACCACTCCCGAAATGTGCAAAATGAAAATGAACTTCCCGCTTGAACATGGCCACATGCACCCGCCACATTTTTGTCTTTTTCACATCTGGAGAGTCGAGAGTGGTGTGGCAAGGCCCTATTGCTGGAATGTGGAAGGAAAGGTACACTCGCCATATTTTTGTCTTTTTCGAATTTGGTATATTAAGTGATGCTGCGAGGCCCAATGACTCGAGCCACACCTTTGCTTGCAGCACGGCCATTGTGTCACGTTTGTCCGGTCAGATCTGCCTCTCAGTGTAAGATGCACGCAGTCGGATCTGCGTAGGTTGGTGACGGGGAGGGGCGTTTGGGAGGTTGAGGTATATTATGTTTACTACTTGGTGTGTTTCTACAAGTGGTTAAATTGTTTCTACTCTCTCCTTTCCTTCATGTAAATCTTGTTTTCTGCTTGCCAGTGATGACCAACCAGACTGATGCCCCCCAGAATAGATGAGGCTGTTTCTTTCCGGGAAAAAAAAAAAAAAAAGTGATCCCCATACGCCATTGATTGGTCCTCTAGCCAGTGTAGCCACATTTTGTGCGGGCACATGTGTGCACTCAGATCTGCCTCCCAGTGCAAGATACGGCAGTCGGATCTGCGTAGGTTGGTGAGGGGGAGGGGCATTTGAGATGTAGCTATATGTTACTCATCGGTGTGTTTCTGAAAGGGACAAAGAACAATTCTGTATCCCATACCCCATTAATCGGTCCTCTTGCCATATTTTTGTGTGGGGCTTCTGCCCGCACAGGGAATGCTAGGGCACGCGAGGCTTCCGCCCGCACAGGGAATGCCGTGCGAGGCTTCCGCCCGCACAGGGAATGCCAGGGCGTGCAAGGCTTCTGCCCGCAGTGGGAAATGCTAGTGCGATGTTATGGGCTGTAATGCTGCCTGAGGGCCTAGTTGCACTACTCGCCATCCGCCACAATTCGTGGCAAAAACTAGAATCGTGTCGAGCTGGAGGCCTGGTTGCACTTACCGGCCACTATATTTCTTCTACAGAAAAGTTAAAAAATTGTCTGCCTGACCTCCACTCGTGAAGCCGTGCACTCGCCAAGAAGTTGTATTGTGGAGAGGTCACGGGGATGACCCTCCACAAAATAGCAGTAGAGAGTCGGGAACTCGCCGCACTCTGTGGTGGGATGAAAAAGGAAACTCGTCAAAAGTTGTGACAGGTTTCCTCGCACCAAGTTTGGCGAGTAAGTGCAACCAGGCGCCTACTTGCCAAACGTGGCATATGGAGAGTTACTGTAGTCACCGTGCAACCAGGCGCTGAAAGTAAAGTCTCCATCTGCACAACCATGACCTTTGTGTTAGATTCTGTATGCTGAAGGGCATTTCGTTGGCCTTTCCTGCAAACGGACCGTCGTGCAAGGAATATGAGCAAGAGCGATATACAGAAAACCAAGTTGCGAAATCACGCAGATGTCCAAGTAGTCATGTACAAGCAGAGAGCGCAAATGCACTGAGATTCCATCCAGATAAGAGCAATGCAATGAACTCACGAGCCAGTGTCTAAGCCCTCAGGCCACACCAACACCGTATCCAATGTCGCTCCTACTCTGTCTGGCGCCCAGCGCCCAGCCTACACTACTCGCCTATCCTACTACACCCGCGTTCATGCAACAGGCTCACTTCAACTTTGAAGACCAATGTACATGACGTCAACACCATAGCTGACCTCCCTCATGCACCAGGTATGTATCTCGTCTCTCCTCATCACCCCTGACTTCCCACAGTGTGCATTCTCAACACCCAAAGACCACCATCGCCATCAAGACCTGCGCCCAGCAGCCCGGCTATGGCTGCCGTGCGCCCGCTGCCCAGCAGTGCACCTCACACCCCAGCGCCCGTGTGCACGACCCAGCCGGCAGCTTCGTGCAGATCACGCAGTTGCAACGCAGCAGCGTGGCCGCATTGCCTGCCTAGCCCAGAATGCGCTGCCAAGCGATGCTTACTTTCCTATATGGAAGGTGAGCTCAGCCTCTGCTGCCTCTGGGTCTGGCTGGGCGAGCATCCAGTAGCTTCCAGTCGGGCCTCAATGCTGTGTGCAGGACCAGTTGCAGTTACGGGCCTGGGCCCCTTTACAGTTGGGCACGTCCAGGCAGTCCATGGGCCTTCACATGTTCGCTGTGATCTCATTGGCTCACGGCCACTTTGTGCCGGCAATGGTACAATCTCATTGGTCCGTGGCTGTTGTATGATGTGTCGGCCTCTGAAAGCACACGCCCAGGGGCTTAACTGTACGGGGCCCTGAGCTCAACTGCCCGTCGAGGCTGCAACTTCCGGAAAGAGCCTGGAGAGGCTCACGTTGCTCTGTAACCAACTGGCATGCTGCAACTGTCTGATACCCACATACGGAGAAATGTCAAATCTTTGCCTCTTGTGAATATTCAGGCCGCCTTCCCTTAGGGCGGGCACAGGGCTTGCCGAGGGCCTTTGCCCAGAACATGTGCATGCCTGTAAGGGCCCCGCGAGGGCTCATTCCCCGCACATATACGACCCCTTTAGGGTGATCACACTGGCCTGTACCCAGGCGTTGGCACATATTGGCAGGCCCGCCTTCACTTACGACAGGCAAGGCCTTTCCCAGCACTGCCGAGGGGTCAAATCCTCGCAGTCGGGTGTTTCTTGCCATAATTGCCGTTTGAAATTCGTTGGTGTAGGGAGTCCATCCACACCACCTTCCCTCTGATGTACTCTGACAGGACGATCTCGTTCTGTATTTTTTCTGTATTTGTTCTGTATTTGTTCTGTATTTGATCTCGTTCTGTATTTATTCTGTATTTGTTCTGTATTTGTTCTGTAATGAATCTGTATTTATTCTGTATTTGTTCTGTATTTGTTCTGTATTTGATCTCGTTCTGTATTTGCTCTGTATTTGTTCTGTATTTGTTCTGTATTTGTTCTGTATTTGTTCTGTATTTGCTCTGTATTTGCTCTGTATTTGTTGTGTATTGATCTCGTTCTGTATTTGTTCTCGTTCTGTATTTGTTCTGTCTTTGTTCTGTCTTTGTTCTTTATTTATTTTTTATTTGTTCTGTATTTGTTCTGTATTTGTTCGGTATTTGATCTCGTTCTGTATTTGTTATGTCCGTTTGTCGGATAACGGCTCTGCCATGGAGTGCTATGGAAGTGGTGAGCCTGGGTCTACACAGCCCAGGCAAGTTATGGTTTGTCCGCGAGCCAATTTGAAGCCATTCGAGAGCGGATTTGCAGGACCGTGATGCAGTAGGACTCCATGGCTGGGCCTGTTCTCTCAAGCGTGCTCCAAGCCAAGGGCTGCATGGGAGCTGAACTCATCCAGAAGCCCGAGTGGCAGTAGTCGTGCAAGCCGGTTAGACCACCAGTACTTCCGAGGCACCTTTCTCCGGGCCCGGGATGGAAACAGCCTGCGTACCACAACAGAAACGAAGAGGTGCAGGCCTCCTTTTGGCGCCACCAGCCATTTTGCTCCGGAGGCTGACCCCTGAAAGCTGCTGCTGTATGCATGCCTCGTAATTGGTTTCATAGTGGGGAAACATACAGGTGGTTTAATGGCGGAGCCGGGATGAAGAGTCAATCTGCAGACTTTGGCAGCCATGTGCAGCTGGTGATGGGGAATGCAATCCATCCCTGCTGTCTTGGCAGGTGGATTGATGTCAACCGGGACAGAGGACCTGTCGATGGCGATTGGTCACGCAAAAGCGGAGGTAGTGTTGGCTTGTTTGGTTGGGATGGGTAAAACCGATGTCTTGCTCCCTGACAGTCCAATTGGGGATCACTGGAGGACAGGGTCACTGGGTGCCAAGGACTCCAGGCGGTCGACCAAAGAGAAATCTGTGGAGTGCCGAGGAGACGGTTGCGCTCATCCGTGCACATGGGTGGCCTTGTTAGGGGTAAGGGAATTCACATCAGCGAATACAGGGAAGGCTCAGAGTATACTCAGACTAGGGAATTCACATGTAAAATTGCACCAAGTCTTCTGTTACAAGGACTCGATCAGGCCGCTCATTTTCGGTATTTTCTGCAATTGTTAAAATGATTTCTTCCTTTCTGGGTGTTGGGAAAAACGTGAATATACGTCACAACGGTCACAGCACCTTTTGCAGTAGCAGATGCAGATCCCAGGGTTCGATCCCTAGTCCTTACCCCCACCGTGTACAGTACCCGTGTAGGCCCCGAGAGTTGAACCCGTGACCTGTGTACTAGTAAGCAATGGTAGGCTGTCATAGGTCCGTAGGTATCAGGGGTTCGATCTGTAGATCTGTAGAATAGAAGTCTTGGCAAGTTCAAGAAGTCTTAGCTGTAGTCCTTCTAGAAGGTCAACCAGTGGGCAAGTGGGCAAGTGGCGAGTCAAGTGGTGGACTAAACTGCAGTGCGATTGCAGTACGACCCCGGTAGGTTAGCAGTGAGTCCCCATCCAGTCAGCGGTAAGGTCCAGTCAGTCCCAGTCCGGTCCAGCAAGTACCACGAGGGACTGTGAGCACCATGGGCCCATGGAAGAGGGCAGACCAACGAGTTTCAGAAGTATAAATCAAGAGGCAGCGCCCAGCCCTTCATTCATTCCTGCGTGAGCCATGCGGAAGCGCTGCCACAGCGACTTGTGCAAGGTCTGCAGTGAGCCCGGAGCTGAAGTGGGCGAGAGAGGTGGAGCGTAGCATAGCGATAGGGTAGTTGCGTCCATAGCTAGAGTTAGTGTGCAGTGTGTGTGTGTTTGTGTGAGTCCAGAGAGTCGCGTGCGGGATATCCAGGGTGATCCGGTGTATGTGAACAGTGAGTTGTTTGGGCGCTGAGTCGCCATAGCCAATTGAAAGTGAACTCGTATCTGGATGCCATATGTCTGAGTCCTGAGTGGGCGCATGTCGCCAGTTTGCTGCGCTACTGTTTACATGCATGAAAAGTGTGAATGGAAGTGAGTCTGATTGCAAACGGGAATATACGTCACAATGGTCACACCGCATTTTTTTGGGGCTCCCGAGGAGGCTCGGCCAAATCGAAGCTTTTAGGCCCCATGGGCTGCCTGTTATGAAAAAAAAGAACA